ACATAAAATCACAAGACCACTGGATATGGTTGTGTGCACCTGTCATTCCAACAATTCAGGAAGCTGAGGAAGGAGGATCACAAGTTCGAGGCCAGCCTCAGCAGCTTAGTAAGGCCCGAAGCAACTTAAGTTGGCCCTGTCTCAAAAAATAAAAACGCCTGGTGATGTGGTTCAGTGATAAAGTGGCTCTGGGTTCAATCTCCAGTACAAAAACAAAACAAACAAACAAACACAAAACCCATGAATCAGAAAAACAGACCATTTATTACTTATTATACCCCAAACCAGCAACCAGAGCAACTAACATTGTGCGTCGATATTTCATGCCCCAATTTGTACAGGGCTGGATGTTTCCTGTGGGTGCCTGATGGCAGCATGGGAGAAGAACCTAAAATTAGGAGACTTGAAGATGTTCAGAAGCTATTGACATACTTGCCTGAGCTCCTCTCCATCAGATTCCTCATTATCCTGGAATGTCAGCAATATCTTAGTTGGAGGTGAGGGTAGCATTTCTAGGTTACCCTGAACTGTCTCAATCTTTCTGGAGTTATATATTCTTTAATTTACTGTTCAAACATGCCCTTGGCTCATGCCAGGACTACACAGAAACCTGAGCAATCCATCAAGACCCTCCCCCAACAATGTGAATATGCCACACTTTATCATCCACTCTTGGGGGTGGATGTGCTTTTGATTGGTTTCCAGTTTGGGGTGATTATGAATAAAGCTGTTTATAATATAAGCATTCTGTTCTGTCTTTGGTTAACATTGGTACATGTTCTTTTTCTTAAGCTTTTTTTTTTTTGGTGGTAGATAAAAGCAATACATTTATTTATTCACTTATTTTTATGTGGTGCTGAGGATCAACCCAATGCCTCACATGTGCTAGGCAAATGCTCTACCACTGAGCCACGACCTCAGCCCATTTTTTTTTTTTTTTATTATTGGAGATTGAACCCATGGCACTCTTTCTTACCATCTCCATCTTGTCACACTTTCTCTGCTCATCTGTTTTCATTTTTGTTTTCAACTTTTGTCTCAACTATCTCCATCTTCTTTCTATTAATCTTTTTCCTTTTTTGCTTGTTGTACCACTTCTTATGTCTCCGGGTATCATTCTGCATCTGTCTCTCCTTTGATTTCTCTGTAACCTCTGGTGCCCCTATGTTGCCCAGGCTGGCCTTGAACTCCTGGGTTCAAGAGATCCTTCTCCCTTACCTTCCCAGTATCTAGGATTACAGGCACATACCATGGTGTTCATCATTGCACCCAGCTTTTTTTCTGTTGGTATCTTTCTCCCTATTCTTCTGATTCTTCCTGTGTGTCTATTACCTGTCTTTAATTTCCCATGTCTGTCTTTCTCCCTAGCCTCTCAGGATCACTTCCTTTTTATTTTATTTTTAATTTATTCTAATTAGTTGTACATGACTCAGGATCTCTTCTTGATCAAGTGGATAGGGTGACCCCTACCCTACTGCCAGGGTTTAGACCCTCTTCCTCTTCCTTGATTAAGCCCATCTCTTTAGAACACCTTGCCCACCCAGTATTTTCCCTTTTCCCCATGCACATATGTGGATGGCAATTCCAGGGGCTATAGGGAGTGTGAGAACCATCAGCCAGGGAGATCAAAGCAGAGGAATGGGGTAGAAGAGCTGAGTGACAAATCAAGATAGATGGAGACAAAGATGGGAGTGAGGCAGGGAGGAAGTGTGGAAGAGACTGGAAAAACCTGAAGGAGGGCCACTGAAATCCTTGGTGGATGTAGATGTTAATAAATAGGAATAAATCAGAGATGAAGGGCTGGGGGTGTAGCCTAGTAGTAGAGCCCAGCAATTAGTCTGAGAGGGCCTATGGGTTCCATTCCCAGCACAGTAGGGGCGTATTTGAGAAAGAGGATGCAGGTGAAGCACTTGTGTGTTTCCTTAAGGACCCCAGTTAGAAGGTAAAGGGCCAGAGGCCTGAGGCAGGCTGGCCTGACCATTCACTGTGGGTCCAGACTCTCAGTTCAGTAGGTACCTCCATGCTGCCACCATGGGAACCACTCACACCTTGCTTGCTCTCCTGCATTTAGCGCTGCATATACTGTCTCCTCCCTGCTGCATTTCTGACCCTTACAGAGATTCCTGTTACTCCTCTATTCCTCTGTCTTTATTCTTTCTCCTTTTTTTCTTGTGCCAGATATTGAACTTAGGGACATTCAACCACTGAGCCACACCCCCAGCCCTATGTTTTTTTTTTTTTTATTAAATGTGCTTACAGTCAAGGAGGAAAGGTTTTTAGGTTTTTTTTTTTTTAAAAGAGAGTGAGAGAGGAGAGAGAGAGAGAAATTTTAATATTTATTTTCTAGTTCTCGGCGGATACAACATCTTTGTTGGTATGTGGTGCTGAGGATCGAACCCGGGCCGCACGCATGCCAGGCAAGCGCGCTACCGCTTGAGCCACATCCCCAGCCCGCCCTATGTTTTTTTAAAAAATATTTTTTAGTTGTTAATGGACCTTTATTTTATTTATTTATTTATGTGGTGCTGAAAATCGAACCCAGTGTCTCACACATGCTAGATACGCACACTACCACTGAGCCATGACCCCAGGCCCCCCCAGCCCTATTTTGTATTTTATTTAGAGACAGGGTCTCACTGAGTTGCTTAGGGCCTTGCTAAGTTGCGGAGGCTGGTTTTGAACTCATGATCCTCCTACCTCAGTCTCCCAAGCTGCTGGGGTTAAAGGCATGCCCTGCTCTCTCCCTCTTTTTTCATTTATCTCTTGCATGTCTCTTTCTGCCTCCACCTCTGTATCTCTCTTTGTTTCTACTTCTCATCTCTCAACTCTGTTGTCTCTTTTACCTTCTCTCCATCTCAGTCCCTCCCTGAATCTGACCCTATATTTCTCTTAGGAAGCTGACACATGCACCATAATCTGAAGCTGCCCTACAACTCTTTCTTTCCCTCCTTCTCATTTCAAGTTTATTAAAACTTTAGCAGTACAAATTACCCAGGGTGCAGATTCTTTATTTTCTAAGCCTCACTTTCTAACCCCTCTCCTTCATATTTTAAATCTGGCATCAGCCTACCCTATCCCAACTAGAGGCTGGAGGAACTATTGTAGGAAGGGGCCCTGAATGTTACTTGGTGAGCAGGTGAGCCACCTACAGGGGCCCAGACTGCATTGGTCCAGTTGCCCCCCAGTGGTGAACTTGAATGGATTCCCAGGCACAGAGGAGGGCTGAGTGCCATAGCATTTGGAAGTGCCTTAAGGGATAGGACCTTAAAGTTAGATGAGGTAGAATTTAGAGGCTACAGAGGATGGGGAACCTGCAGATAGTAAGGGGTTTGTAGGGCCAGGGCCCATTTAAAGGGGACCAGGGAGATAATGTAGGATTGTGTAGAGGCAGTAGCTGCATTTGCCTTAGAGGGCAGCATGGAAAAATGGGCAAGGAGTAAGGCCGGTGAACTCATGGAAAAAGAAAGGCCTGGCAGAGGTAGTAAGCAAGATGAGGGCTGGAAGTAACCAGCAGACTAGACCAAAAAGGCCACTGGAATAATCCTGAGTGGGATGAGGCCTAGGAGTGCAGAAGAGGTCCAGAAGGCACTGCTGCTCTAAGTGTCTGTGGCACCAATGGTTAGGGGTCATACCCCAAGGCTCCAGCCATGTTCCTGGTGCACACTAACCCCATCCTGCCCTGCTTTTCTCAGGCCCTTGGTGGGGTGGTCATGCACTACCTGGCACTATCATTCATGCAGGAGGCATAGTGGCTCTGTCACCTTTGCATCCCTATGAACCAATATTGTACCAGGGAAAGAGCATTTCCATCAAGTTGCAATGGCTTGCAGATAGGAACAGGTTTTGTCTCCCATGAGGTCATGTGTACTGCAGCCGTTTGTGCAAAGGAAACCCTTGATTTCTCAGGAAGCTTTTGTGCCTCCCTGTGGCATTTGCACCCCAATGGAGAGTGTCTGACTCAGCCACATAGGATTTACATATAAGTGACATCACATGGATGTGATGTCCATCCAAAAAAATCTCTTCCCCATTCATTTCCTATCCTAAAATGAAAATTAATTTCTAGTTCTTTTATGGTTGGCCTGAACAAACAAACAACTAAGCCAATCATGGTGAGGCACACCTGTAATCCTAGCTACTCTGGAGGCTAAGGTGGGCTAAGACAGTGATCCAAACAACTGACAACACTGCATGATCTACTCTGTAGAAAAGTATCCCTGTGATAGAAGGGGAGACTGACACAGGAGAGCTTTTCTTGAAGAAACCATATCTCCCTGACACCAACTTCCATTCTAGGGCCACAGTGAGGTCACATTGGATGGGGATAATTTTTGAAAATGGGGTGACTGGTATCTAGAAAGAAAGGGCTTCTTGTAAGATCAATTTCCCAGCCTTGGCCATGGGAGCTTATGGAGGAGGGGTCAGGGTAGCAGAATGTGTATGTGTACAGTGTCAGGGGTACAACATGCACAAACATGTGCACCCTCAACAATCCCTGTGTTCGTGCATTTCTTTTCAAACATGTTCCTGTCTGCTCTTTCATTGTTTGGCTCCTGCACACCCTTATGCATGTACCCAATTCTTATCTTCATGCACTTCTCCCTTCCTGCTCATTCATCCCATAAATGTTTATTAGAGCCCATTCATGGTGGGACTCTAAGTCCTAGGGCTTCTGAGTCATGAAAAGGGCTCTGCCCTTGTCCTGAAAGGGAGGTCCTGGGAGTGCATAAACAGGCATTTCAAAACTGGCTTTAAAAAACTCATCATGGTGCAACACGAAGAAGCTGGGATGAGAACTTATTACATGTGAATGTGGGACTAGGGTGCCCTGAGAGAGAAAAAGGGAATCCGTCTGTCAAGGCCACTGGGATGCCTCACCCCCACCCTGGGACAAGGGAGCAGAATAAAGGCCCTCTCTGGAGAGTCCAGGGCTAACTGAAAGTTAGCCCTCCCTTAGAGGTAGATCACTGGTGAGAGAACCGAGGAGCAGCTCCCATAGTGGTGGTGTCATGTGGCGGCTTCCTCAATGATATTGCTGACAGCTGGGAAAGTCTGTGTCTGGGGTATCCTCCTTAGGGGAGAGCTGGCTGGGGTCCTCTAGCAATGGGGCTACTAGAGAAGGGAGAATGATGTTAGGACGATTAGAGGAGGACAGGTAGAGCATTTTCTGCCTCTCTCTCTGACAATCGTCACTAGGTACTCACCATTGCGGAACTGTCGAGAGGTAAAGCGAGTGAGGAGGATGCTAACACCCTCAACGAGGGCTAATAGAATTCCCCCCATCATCGCTGAGCCCACCATTGCTAATGGTCCACCTGAGGGGTGAAGAGAGAAAAAAGTGAGGGCAGGCGGAACAGTGTGGGAGGCTCAAGGGTCAGGGATGAGGGGGCACTCACTGCGGGCAGCCAGCACAGCCCCAGTCACTGCACCACTAGTGATGGAGTTCCAGGGATCCTCCCTGCCTCGCAGCTGCACCAGGCCACAGTCCACGGTTGAGAACAGGAACCCCCACACTGCAAAGCTACCTGTAAGGGGACAGAAGCTTAATTAGTGTATCTGGGAAATCCCAAGAACCCATATCTCGAGGTTTGGAGAGTTCTAAGGCTTGAATGCTCTGGTCAAAATTGGGATAAAGAGTCTAGGGGTGTAGCTCAGTTGTATAGTGCTTGCTTAGCATGAGTGAGGCCTGGGTTCTAACTTCTGCACTACAAAAAAAGAATGGGAGAAAACCTGATATAAAGGAAGAGAGCAAACTCCCCTGAAATATTATGTCTGTTCACATCCTTTGTAACTTCCACTTCAAGCCATCTTTAATTGTCATTGATGAAAGAAAAGTGGCACAGGATTGATCTCACACACYTGGGATAAGACGCTGGTTTATTGTCAGGAGCCCGACAAGGCTGCWCTGCACAAAGACAGGGACAGCAGCAGCAAGCTAGGGAGAGCAAGCAGCACAACAACCCCTTGACTGTTACCTTTTATAGGCTAGAATCATGGCCGCGTGCTAGGGGCAGGTTTAGTCTGGACTGACATAGCAAGTATCCCCTCATCTTGTGGAAGGCGAGTTGGTTTCTTGGGAACAGAGACAGGCAGTTTTCCTATCTCTCAGAGGGCGAACAGGGAAACCAGCATGTCCCTTTATCTTCTCAAGGAAAGAACAGGGAAACCAGTACGTCCCCATCTCAGGGGCCGGTAAGTTGTCTCCTAGCTCTCCATGAGAGAACAGGGAGAGACCAGCAGGTCTCCAGGCTGATAGGTTTTATCTTGGGCTACTTTCTATTCTTGGGAATAAGAACAGTATTCATAAAATGGGGGTGGGGAAAAGGAAGATGGCTGCAATTATGCTAACAATTGATATTCCCTTCACCTTTATAAGGAGGTGACAAACGTTACAAGCATATTCATCTTTTATATGGCTTTTAATAGGCAACTTCAATTTTATTTTGGCACCAGGGAGCCACATCCCCAGCCCTTTTTATTTTTTAAGACAGGGTCTTGCTAAGATGCTTAGGGCCTTGCTAAGTTGCTGAGGCTAGCCTTGAATGTGTGATCCTCCTGCCTCAGCCTCCCAAGTTATTGGAATTACTGCACCACTACTGCACCACTGGCATACATCACCATGCCCAGCACAACTTTGATCGTTTAATCACTACAGACAGCTGGATTTCAGGCCTTGATTTCAGGGAGAAAGAAACAGGTCAAGAAAGTCAGTTAATAACATAATATACACCTGGGTATGGTGGTGCACACCTGTAATCTCAGCAACTTGGGAGGTGGAGGCAGGAGGATCACCAGTTAAAAGGTCAGCTTGGGAAATTTAGCAAGACTTTATCTGAAAATAAAAAAATATATATATTTATTTTTCAGTTTTCGGTGGACACAACATCTTTATTTTATTTTTATGTGGTGCTGAGGATCGAATCCAGCGCCCCGCGAATGCCAGGCAAGCGCGTTACCGCTTGAGTCACATCCCCAGCCCCTGAAAATAAAATTTTTAAAAACTAGCTAGAACTCTTTAGATTTCAGTGGTGGAGAGCTTAAACAGCGTGCATGAGGCCCTGGATTCAATTTCCAGCACTATCACCAGGGAAGAAAAGTATATATAGGTTAAACATCTCTAATCCAGAAATATAAAATGCTCCCAATCCAAAGCTTTTTGAGTATGGACAAACACCACGAGTGGAAAATTCCACATTTGCCATCACATGATGGGTCACAATCAAAATGCAGATGAACTAAAACTACTACAAAAATTAGCAGGGTGTGGTGGTGAGCACCCGTAGTCCTAGGTACTCAGGAGGATAGGGCAGGTGTATTACTTGAGCTCAAGAATTTGAGACCAGGGGGGCTGGGGTTGTGGCTTAGTGGTAGAGCACTCGCCTTAACGCTCTAGACCCTGGGTTTGATCCTCAGCACCACATACAAAAAATAAACAAGTGAAATAAAGGTGTTATGTCAACTAAAAAAT